TATATTTCGTTGACGTATTTAAAATGGTGTGATGATTGTATAATGGTGATTATCCCATCCCTTTTAAGAAATAATAACTACAAAAACTACAATATCTCAAGTTTTGTAACAGCACACGCAGACTACTGACAACTAATCGACTGTAATAAGTTGAGCAAACAATTCCATTTCTCTATTCTTTTCAATATAGTACATATTATAGAATCAGTATAGATAAACGTCTACGCAATCGCAATTCCAGTGAGCCTAACTCTTCGTAAAGACGGCGAGAATTCATTAAAATTTCTCATTTGACGGCGTCCCCAAGCACCAAGACGAAGGAAGCTCTCAAGCAAGTCATATTTTACAACGGTTATATCATTTTAACCTTTTCTTGGAGTAGACACATTTTTAATGCAGCGATGTTTAATTCAGTCTGATTTTTAAAGGTTAATCTAATTTAGAACCTGTACTGTTTAGTAAATATGTATAAGTGATGCTATTATTGTCTTTGTGATACAAAGAATCTTAATTTAGCGTACACAAAAACAACAACAAATATATCTAACCGTAAGCACATAAATAATGGTTATTTCAGTCAGCTCCTAGGTGTAAAAAAAAGATAAATGAATAAATACAGATAAGTAAAGTACAATTTATTTATTAAAAATTGTAATTGAATTATATTAAATTCCGAGGAGTACTTTATTGTATTTTGACCATGATGCCAGCCATATTATGGAAGAACTCGCTTTGCCAAAAATATAAAAAAATGTAAGCGATTACAACTCATTGGTCATGTAATATATGTTGATATTATACATGATCATGTAATATAGTCTATATACAGTCATGTAATATATGTTAAAATACGAGATTATTTAAAAGAACAAAATTTTATTTGTGTTACTGAGTATATAAGTAACTGAGTATTATATTTTACGATGGTAGGGCCACGCAGCAGTCTCGGCTGTTGCACGGATGGACAGGCCCGTCCGGGTAAGTACCACGACCTCACAGAAGACCAGCCTACAATGGAAGTATGACAAATACTTTCGCGTTTCGTCTGGTGAGTGAGAAAATTAATCCAATCGATATATAGGCCACATTTAAAGACCCATTTTCATTTAAACAGTTTATTGGCGACGTAATATTTGAGATGGTTACGGAATGCTTAAGATTTACGATAACGGCTAAAACAATGCAAAATCCTAGTCTTACTCTATAGGGATTTGCACGTTCGGACTATCCATTTCGATTACTTCTTCGTCTCTGTATTGATTCAACAGTCTAGAATATTTTGTAGATACGGCGCGCAGTGGAAATATCGAAGCTATTTCAATAAATGTAAAATTCTATTCCCCTATTTGATTGGGTATATACTATGGCATTTCGTGGGTGCCACTACATCTGGTACCTTACAGTTGGTAAAGATGTTCAATTGTGGTGGAAATCACTTAAATGCCTGATTTAAAAATTATTAAAAAGCATCATCGTCTTTACATTGTAGCTTAAAGCAAACGACGCACCAATCTTTCAACAACCGATGCATGTTACCAGTTAAAACCTTGAAATAAATATTTCAAATGAATTTTTTTCAAATGGACTTCGATGAATTAAAAAATATTTTCGTTAATTAAAACTTATTCATATTTCTTAATTTAAATAAATTGTCCACTTAATAATTTATTTCGTAGCTTCGAGGGTTAGAAACATAATTATTATATCATCCTCGTGAAGTTTACGAAAGCAGTTGAACGAAATATTAGAACACCCTGGCGTCACATAAGACAAATTATATGATTAAAGTTACCTTATTTTGTTGTATCAGGATCTTTAAAAGTTACCCTGTCATATGGGGGTTCGATAAGAACTCCACAATACAAGTTACACTTGTAATTCTTACGCACAGAGTGAAAGAAAACCACACTTCTTTAGATTGGTAGAGGATCTCCTTAGTAACGCAACGGTGCCCTTATAAGGACATAATCGATGTAACCTGATAAATTCAGCTAACTATAGAGCATAAAAAATTATAAATTTAAAGTATTTTTTTGTTTTTGTTTTATAATTTATGACTAATTTTATCTTTAGTGCATGTCACATCCAATACGAAGTCTAAAATGTGATTTTTTGTAGAAAGACACAGGAATTAATAATTGAGGAATATGCAGACGCACATAATATTATTTCACAATTGATATTTCTTAATACTTAGCAAGAACTAAGATAAAATAAATAAATAATAATAAATTTATAACCTTCAATTGTTGGAAAAACAGTATAAAAATTAGAAGGTTATAAATAGTTCATACTTTCCTTTGCATTTCATACATTTATTGGCATTGGTCTCTATTATTGGTTTATATGATCAGGTATTTCTGCAGTACATTAAGCAAATTATCTAAAGGGGAAACTTTGTTTCGCATTTTTTGGGTATCCCAAACTATATTTTTTATTTTTATTTTATTTTGTACATCAACTTACAACTATCATTATAGGCGGCTAATGCGATAGTGAAGTTCGAATACCTTTTTATAAAAGCTAAATGACTTATGCTAAGACTACTTTATTTAAAAAAAAATGTCATAAGGAAAAACCTTGTAGCTTTACTATCCTTACTTAGTTACTTAATGGTATAAAGGCGAAAGTTTTGTATGTATGAATGGACGTTTGTTACTTTTTCAGGCAAATACTGCTGAATGGATTTTAATGAAACTTAACAATAATATAGCTTATTTATCAGAATAAGACATAAGCTGTAATTTATATACATATGTTATGTATATCTGTCTTTCTGTCTGAATGTTACGCCTTCAGCCTATTCTACGCAGACGTAGTCAGGGGCAGCAGCTAATAAATCATAAATATAAAAGAGTTTCTACATTTTATCCAATTCGAAATAACTTTACTTACTTACTTTATGAACTCCAAACAAATGTTCCCGCGGACCCGCACTCTCTGGCAGTCATCCAAAGTATAATATTTGAATAGGCATCAGTCGATTACTCTGAACAGGTTAATATTCTCACCTTTTCATTACCCTGAGGATTTTCAGGTTATCCCTTTTCAATTTCGGTCGAGCCAACAGCGGTCCTATAATTCCTTAATAAATCTCTGGCTTTAGTCAAATTGAGAGCTTTTGATTTCTCTCATCTGTGTAATGTGACGCGACGTCCCCGTCTTGAGGTCTGTGCGCTTACAATTATAATATCAGTTATTATAATAATAGTGACATATCAGGTATTTTTATTTTCTATTTTTTTTACGAAAGAAGATGGCCAACTAGAAGGTTGTTCAACAGGCAAGATAAACCACTATTAGACATCCACAACACCTCTAGAATTGCATACTCAGATAAGCGAAATATAAAAATGTGAGTTGACGTTTTGTGAGGCCGTCATTTTTAGGAGCATTCATTATTTAAGTATAGTATTATATTTTTGCCACTACTGAGCAAGGGCTTCCTCTGTACAGAAGGTATTAGCAGATAGTCTTTCACCACGTGACCCTACTGCGGATTGGCGGACTAATCATACCATCTATATAATTCTTGACATATCTTCGAAACATTTTGTAGTATTTTAGAAATATGCGGTTCTCCGCAGGATGTTTTCCTTCACTACTGAGCAAGTGATAAGTCAGCAATTAAAATTTAGAATTTCATTGGTGCTGGCATCGGGGATCGAACTCAGGTTGCTCGAGTATATTGTACTGAAAGCGAGCGCCCGGACAATGAGCTATCACAACTAACTCTCATTCTTAAAATAGTTATCCATGTAGTTCCATGTAGTTGGAAGCTTCAATTCTCTGTCTAGAGTTAAAACTGCACAAAGCGTACTCATTTTTTTTTGTGTAAACACTTACTTTTCTGATATTTTTAACCGATAATACAAAGTTACGGTCATGCAATTTAAGATAATCACGTCCTATGACTATTAGATAATAAACTAGAGGATAAACTTGTAAACTGCGGATCAAAGCACACTTAAGTGTTTGTTTCTAACGGCTGGTTTCAATATGCTACCTATCTGCAGATTTGGTTACTAGCAATCGATTTTTGACATTAGTTTCACAATGCTTACATAATACTACAAAATTCTATCTCCAGTAACAAAATCTACAAATAGATGGATTAGTGAAACCGGCCATAAGTGTGCTGTCTCGTTAATTTTTACTTTTCAGTTGAAAACAACCTCTTTTTTATCATTTTTTTACTTAAAAAATAATAACAACATAATTATTAAAAAATAATAAACGTGTGCTTGTGAAACCCGCTCTAATTGATAATAAATACAGATTACACTGGAAGTAGTTAGCTCACCAGGAAGTATTACCAACTTAATGAATTAAGTTCTGAGCCCAGACCGACAGCAATTTACATAATATTTCTTAACGCGACCCGCGCTGCATGTAAACCCTGCATTCAAGTTTGAATCTTCCCGCTATTTCTCAAACTTTCGGCAAGGTACGAGATCAATTTCCAATTCAGAATATTCAACTCTCGTTCGCGAAGCTGCGCGGTGAAGTAACTCGAAGCGAATTAGAAGCAAATTACAAATGATTATTAAATAGATTTATTTAGCAATATCTTAAGCAATTGTATTCGCAAAATATTATAAAGCCTTTAACTTTTGTTCAATATAATAATTAAAATTAGAAGGAAAAAAAATGATGAGTACCTTCATCATCGTATACAATTTTTACAATTTCCCTTGATATAGATTAACTTTACTAAAACTGTGTAAAATTAAGTCATAATATCTAATAATCTATCCAAATTCTTTTATAAATAATAAAATATAATATCAAATCATTAGTTAAGATTTTTATAAAATAAAAAGAGTCAATTTTATTTTTAAGACATCAGATTAGGTATAGAAATTATATGGTTCCATCTATGCCAATATAAGACACAATAATAATGATAACAGCAAATTATTTATATATAATGTAAGTTGAGTACGCTATTTTTCAATTAACTTTAAATAAAATTTTAGAATCTGTTACTTTTACAATCAATCTTGATCACCGAATAAATCCGCCGCCCTTCTGGCGGCGACGGCTATTCCTGACCAGGTTTCCTCTCCCACTTGTTTTATGTATCTTGGATCCAGATGGAATCCTTCAGAACCTTCTCCGAGACCAGGAAGCTCCAGATTGAAGGAAATCGGAACACCACTCAAATGGGCATAATCAACTGAGCTACCAGATGTTAGTTGTCCCGTTACCAATACAGAGTTGCCGACGATGTATCGACGGAATTCCGGTAAGGATTTTTCGTAAATGGCGTTAGCTAAGGCAACCCCCATGGTTTGGAGGGCGAACGCTTGGTTGGAGAATGAACCATCATGTCCCCAGGGGTACAACACGTAACTGCCGTAGCTATGTAAAGTCACATACAAGACTATCCTTCCCGCGTACTCGTCTATGATCTCTGTAACTACTTGGGTCTCCTTTTCCGAAGCGGCGCTGCTACCTGGGTAGTTTTCGGTGCACGGGCTATCGCTTATGCCCACCGTATTCCAGAAGAAGTCGAAGTTGCTATTAGCGTCCACTCCTGGGCAAACTACGCTCAGTAGGTGCTGGTCAGTAGACCGTGTCTTACTCCAGAAACGGTCCTGAGAAAAGAAAAGACACAAAATCTTTTTATTTTAATTCACACGATCAAGGTGCAGAAATATCGTTACCGACATGACACTCGCTAGTCCAGTACATTACTAACTAATCATTTTAAATGTTTCAATAAATTTGATACTATTTTTCTGATAAGTAAGCAAATAAAAAACGTAAGGCGTTAATTTTATACAAAATCATAATAACAATGTTTAACTATATATTTCAAGTGTAACAGCTAAGCTAACTAGAAAACGGGACAGTATATCCCTCGATTTAACCTTCGATACGTTTCATCACTTTCATGGTAGATAGAAATTTCTTGTAGCTTTACGTGGGTTCAAAATAGATGTAGCTCAAAGGGAGTGCTGCTTTCGTATTTTCTCCAAGTATACAACTAGGACAAATCATGTGACGGTCTTGTGAATACTCATCCCCGTAGGGAATCGAAACCTGCTGCGCGAAAGCTTGTTTAGTGTCCCGGTAATAAAACATCAGAATATGCAATCTATTCATACTTTCATGAATATAGAAAGGTACACATCAAGAATTTTCTATCATTCATCTATACTCATCTATACAATTTCTAGCAGCCAAAAAGAAACAGATATTATTAAAAGAATGCAGTTATACATTTCATACAATATATAGTAATACAGCAGATAGAGGCATTTTATATAGTGCAAGGGTTCTGGTGAATCTGTGTATCACAAAAAATTCTCATTATCGAACCTAAAGAAGTTCCAAAGAACCCAGTTGGTAAGAATCATATCTCAAAAGTTAAATCAGCCCTTACTCTTAAAAGGACGAAAAAATTGTTGCCGCTGAGGGAATCGAACCCACGTCTTCGGCATTCGCACGCCTGACGCTTTAGCCACTAAGCTAAACGGCTGTTGCCATACCGACGAAAATGTTAACGTCATTTATCTACATTATTTTTTAGCATAGAGCTTAGTGGCCAAAGCGTCGGGCCGCAAATGCCGAAGAGGTGGGTTCGATTCTCACAACGCCGATAATCTTTTCGTATTTTTTCTACAAAATTTAACTATAAAATTACTATAAACTATAAATATTAAATATATAAAATATATGTAATTATAAAATATATAAAATAGTTTATAACGAATTGTGCTTATTTTGTGTCAGTTTTTAGTACAACACTTGGTTTTTAGTACGAGATTTTCAGATAATTTTATTATTTATTATTATTTTCAACGACTAACGAATTTATGACGACCCGAATGGCGTTGTGGGTAGTGTACCTGCCTCCTGCGCCAGAGGGTGTGCGTTCGATCCCCACTACTAGAAAAATATTGTGTGATGAACATAGTATTTTTCTAGTGTCTGGGTGTTAATATATGTATAACAAGTTTATCAGTTTTCTAGTACCAATAGTACAAGCTTTGCTTAGTTTGGGACTAGAGAATGTTGTGTAAAAATGTGTCCTAAAAAAATCCTAGTTTAATTTGATAAGCACATTTCTTATATACTCACATTTGTGAAAGTATACTTGTATCCGTCCGGGTTAACGACGGGCAGGAGTATCCAGTCGTAGTTCTCCAATAAGTCTGTTTCGTTGACATCCACTATGAGCTTGTGAATGGCGTACAGAACCGTAGAGGGTGCGATCCACTCCCTCCCATGGATCCCACCATCTATCACCATCACCGGCTTCCTTTCCTCGAATTTTGTCTTGGAGATCTTCAGGTATTTTATCGGTTGTTCCTCGAACGAGCTGGTGGAATTCACCAGTGTCACTAGTTCTGAGTATTTTTCGGCGATCTCTTCGAGATAGGCATCAATCTGGAATATTGTTACACACCAATAATATGTATTACACACCAATAATTACATGAAAATATAACAAAACATACCAAATAAACTTTTACGGTACGGTTGTTCACTTAACATCAGGTGAACCGTCTGCTCCTTTGACAAATTTTCACCATTAAAAAAAAGAAGAAAATCCTGATTTGTAGTTTACTATCCCAATAAAATGTGTATCTTCATACCTTTTCCAGTTCCTGGTAGTTGTCAAATATGGAGCCGCCATCGCTCTCTTCTAGAACCTCCCTTCTCTTCTGAATCAGATTGTCATCGATGTCCAATTGCCTGTTGAGAGAGAAACATACATATGATTATTGAACATAGCAGTTGTCACGACTTTAACTCATACGCATGAAGAGTAGAGCAGCAGTTGTCTGTAGAACCCACATTTAGCAGAAGTTATATTAAGTCATGTGGAAGTTTGTACGCGTGTGTGTGTCTCATACAGCAAACGGTAGTACTTTGTGTGGAATAGTAGTTTCTGTAATCAGAAACTATTCCATTTAGGCTAAGTATTGGTCATTTATGTGGTGTATTTATGCATTAGTATTATTTCCCACTGAATTCAATTTTACTTTTGTAGTGTACATGTAGGTGATGTTTCCATATTTTACATAGTTTTGTTGTTCTCTATGCGAATTTAAAACAATAAATTTATACTGAGATAGTTTTACCGGATGTAGAATTTATAGAAAAGTCATTTGATGTAAAGATAAACAATAACACGGTTCTCTTTAATGTTTTATCGATAAATAAATGATCTTTTAATTCTGCAGCTCTGCATATGTAAAGTAACACAAATCCGTCAAGATAACATTAAATATAAAATATAATCCGACCTAATTCGGTGGGAGATAGGAACGATAAAAAACATATTGTGGTGATAAAAGTGTCTGTCAATAAAAATAAACATCACAAAAAAAAAACACTAAATGTCCTTCTCAGCTCCAGCTGCTCTCAAACCAATGCTGACTAGTCATCTTAAGATCTAAGTAATAATATTTATAATTTTAAACTACTTATATTTTTAAAAGGTTAAGATTATGGACGATGAGAACATTTAATGGACGGTTAATATTTCAATTCAAAACCGTTCTCTATACCAACGGACAATTCATAGAAAAGTTAGACCGTGTTGCTCAAAGCAGTATATTCTGGTAAGAATAGGGCAAAAACCTTATATGAAACCGGCACACGGAAGAAGTATAAAAATTACTGACGATAATGATAAACACCGACTTAATGTCCATAAGCGATAGCACTTTTCACAGTAACAGAAACTAAATGTATTCCAGAAACTAAATGTATTCACGCTTTCACATCTTCTGCGTGGATCCGATAAGCGATGTTACGGCTCTTGAGTGCCTCGGCGAACTGTTCTTGGTGCTGGGGTCTGACCAGTGCCAAACCTTCTCGACCTACAGCCGCCCTGCTCAGGAAGTCCACTTCATAATCCCGTGCCACGGAACCCAGGAAAGATAGCTGGAGCATATCCGACGGATTCACGAAGTAAGACCTCCATCTGCAAACGAAGAAATATGACACTTTTCCTTCACACTGGTCATCGGTGGGGTCGTCAGATGGACCTGACCATTCGAACAAACAGCCGATGCTGTTGCGTGGCCCTACCACAGTTTCCCATCTTTTAAGCCTAGCGTAGACATACATAGCACATTCTGTATGTTTCCATAGCTTGTTAAATATCGGACGGACGGTGAATCTGTTGTACAAATGCGAGAAAAGGATTTCTGCCCGCAATAAATATGAAACAGTTTTTACTACTCGATCAGGGACCTCGTTCCTACGACGTCTATAAAATATTATATTCTAGTCGTTTAAATTATAGATCTCTAGCAGAAAACAAGGATCTTATGTAAATAATTTCATTAACTCAATAAAGAAAACACGGAAATGGAACCACCAATTACAAAAAAAATATTTGAAAAGAAAATTCCTGTCAGTTCAATTGACAATCAAACTCTTATGATATTGTCATGACCGCTTTTTTTTAGTCGATAATTTGTAGATATTACTTCCGAGAAAATCTTTTAGCAAACGTGCTCAACGCACGCTAGAAAATATTTTTATCAGGTACTAAATGCAATATGCTAATTTTACATTCCACATGATTTTCTCGATCATAAAATATAAATATTTATGGTACTGACCCTTGGTATTTCTCGTGCTTGGCATGACCCACGGCGAGAAGGACAACTATAACCAAGAACTTCATGTTCCTGAATATCTGTGAAGTAGCAAACGCACTTGAATTTTTATTAAATAACACATGATAATGAACAACCACGCTCGCAGCGAGATAAGGTTATTCCCATATACAAAAATGCACTGTATTCCTATTAAGCAAAAGGTCACTTATTGCTCGATTATATTTATAACAAAATAATACCGTCAAAACCTTTACTGGCGACTGTTGGATAGATTTACGCCCACCGACCTTATCTGGAAGTCGAATTTAATTAACATAATAATAAAAAAAATCCAAGGTTTTATTCACTTATATATGTCTTCATATGTCTGCAATTTTGTTAAGAGTTCAACATTAATTGCTATTTTTATTATGCTAATCCTGAGAAATAGGCATTACCCTAACTTCCCCCATTTACTAAACTAGAAAACCTAACTTCACTGTCTATATTTTCCTGTTTTAATATGTTTAGATATCGTATATTGCCTAAAATATTGCTCTTCTTAGAACACTTTAAACCGTGATTAAATAAAAACATTTTTGAAGACACCAAAGTACTGTTTAACTTTTCAAGGTTCACGTATTTCCTGATTAATTATTTTAACGATTAAATAAGACATGTCCTACATTTTTTTTTCTTTTGTGTTACTTTTTTATTTTAGCAATACTATGAAGAAAAGCAGTTAAATAATAGGAAAATCTTGACTATGACTTTGACAGCACTAAACATGCTGGCAAAATATTAAAAAACTAAATTGCCATTTAATTTTGTCTGTAATAACACATAAATTGTGAACACGTGTCTTTCGTCAGCTGTATTCACACATCAGCTATCCTGTAAAAATAGTTCGATGTGGAATTCGCTAACTTTGAATGAAAGTTTATTAGTGAAAATTAATATACCAACTGAAGCTTTAAGTTTATGCAAGTATGTTTAATATGGAATATACCATCATTTTGAAATTATGATGTGTTATCAATACACAGCTATTACAACTTTATGATACTTTAACGTTACTTGTGTCATGTTTGGTACCATATTTTTATGTTACGCATCGTAAATCCTCTATAAAGGTTTTTACATCTTGGAGTAATTAATAACCGATAAAATCTAAAAAAAAAATCTATTTTGAATGTCGTTTTGGTCGCTCGAAGCTGTCATTTAAAAATCAGCGCGAAAAGGACAATGAGCGTTTTTTCCGGCAAATATTATACATAAAATTTGTGTATTTATTTAAATAAATAAATATTTAGAACACATTTGTACACAACATTTTCTAGTCCCAAACTAAGCAAAGCTTGTACTCTGGGTACTAGAAAACTGATAAACATACTTAAACATACTTTTCTTTTGTAAATAAATACATATTATACAAATAGAAACATCCAGACACTAGAAAAACACAATTTTCATCACACAATATTTTTCCAGTAGTGGGGATCGAACACACACAGTTACACTACCCACTACGCCATTCGAGTCTTCTTGTATTTACGCAAAAATGAAACATTTTGAATTGAAACTATTTCACGGATTTTATCGCATTAAAGTCTATTTTTAAACTCCCGACGTTTCGAACCCTTTCCAGCGTTCATGGTCGCGGGGCAGACTGAGTTACTTCACGTCTTAATGTCATAGTTAACTCGGGCTACCGGCAATTATTATATTATTTAATTTTTTTCCGATCTATGCAAAAGGATCTTATGGTATCTTGAGGTCTAGCAGTGTTGGTATGCTTGGATTTAATTTTATATTTAACATCAGATGACATAAACAATATAGGCTATGGTCTCTAATCAACAATTATTAATAATACTTACTTAATATGAAACAAACAGAATTATAATTATACTCTTATATTTATTGACAATGAAATTAAAAATAATCTAAGCACAAACGCAGACAAGTTCACAAAGATAACATAACGCCATCTATCCATAGATGTTACGAAACCAAAACAAATTATAAATTTTCTATAGATTCCTTCACCCAATATTGTATTGTCCTCAACAGATGTCGCCATGGATATCCATTTACCCATTTTCATTCGACACCTAAGGGTAAGAGTACTACATTGAAAAAAAAATGTTACAAGGTTTGGTTCAAAGTCAGTCATAGATTCGACAAAGAGCACCCAAACTCCATGTGTTCTTGTGGTCCCTACCACTAGTGTGAATATAAAAATATGGAGCTAGAAGCTGGGTCGAGTGGGTGAAGCGAATCTCTGGAGCGACATAACGAAAGTTTGGGACAATCTAACAAGTCAAATCCTAGTGACATAAATAAAGAGAAATATAGGCTGGTGCATCAATGTGTGTAGGAAAGCACAACGTCGCCATATTCATAAGTCAGTCCAAGACCCTGACCCCTGTCAGGGTCTGGAAATTTCTCAGATACTTAAATAAATAAATAAAATAAAATAAAAATAAAAAAGCCTTTTATTTATTGCTACACAATAGAAATTGACAATTTGAAAAAAGAAACAATGTGCCGTTATGTAGAATAAATTAATTGTAATTATAAACGTAAATTTGCAAGAACCCCTCTCAACGGAAGGTAAAGGCCTCCTCCAGAGTTGACTAATGTATTCTGTCCTCTGCTACTCGCATCCAGTTGGTACCTGCTATTTTTTTAATGTCGTCTGCCCCTTTTTCTTTGGCCCGATGGTCCTAACCATAATGTCGTTTTTGTAGTCCAGCGGTTGTCAGTAAGTCTGACTACGTGTCCAGCCCATCGCCATTTTAGCATCTGTGAGTAGCTGAGAGCGTCGATAGCTTTTGTCTTCTGTCTTATAGCAGTATGACGGATTTTATAGATCTTCTTAATGTTCAGAATGCTTCTTTCCATACTTCGTTGCCTTGTTATGATCTTATTTTTTACTTTCCTTGTAAATTTCCAGGTTTGACAGGTGTATGTTAGTGAGGGAAGTAGACAGGTGTTCATGACTCTGCTTTTGAGTTATATGGGAATGTCGCTTTTAAGAATTTCCTTGAGACTCCAGAACTTCTTCCAAGTGATGTTGACTTTTCTCTCTACTTCCAGTTCGTTGCTGTGTTGGTTAAATGAAATTTGTTTTCCCAGGTAAACGTATGTATCTACATAGGTTAAAGGCAGGTCTTTGAGATATATGGGTATTTTAGTATGGTTCGTCATGATATTAGTTTTATTTCCAAACCTACTTTACAACTTTCTTCATGTAGAGAGTTTATCATCTGTTGTAGTTGGTTTGTGTTTTCTGATAGCAGAACTATATCGTCAGCAAATCTCAGGTGGTTCAGGTAACACCCATTTATGTTTATGCCGACTTTCTCCCAGTTAAGTTTGCGGATGATTGACTCTAGGACCACTATGAAGATTGTTGGCGACACTGGATCTCCTTGCCTTACACCTCTTTTATTTTGTATTATTGGTCCAGTGGTCTCCAGCTTCAGTCTGCTAGTATTGTTGTCGTAGATGTTTTTTATGACTTGTATGTAATCCAATGGCACTTCTAGGGAGAGTAGAGCTTCCCAAATCGATGAATGAAACAGAGTATCGAAAGCTTTTTGGTAATCAATAAAAACAGCATAAATTGGTCTGTTGAACTCTCAGATACTTAGCAGTTGGGAAATCACGCCATAACATTTCTTCTCATAATACTGATCTTGATCAGCTTAATCAGCATTTTTCCTCTTCGTCTTGCATTAATAATGAAGCAAAAGCTAACACTCTATATTCCCTTTCAAAGACTCCCACTCCTAATACTCCCGCTTTTAATTTTAGTCAAATCGACGATCGTGATGTTGAGAGAGCCGTATCGTCCATACATTCGAACTCTGTCGGTATTGATTGCTTTAGCCGTAAAATGGTCTTTCCTCTCCTGAACTTCCTTACCCCTGTAATTACTTCTATCCTCAATAACTCCCTGAAAAATGCTTCTTTTCCCTCGGCTTGGATAGATGCCAATGTCATTCCTCTCCCGAAAAAATTAATCCCGCTAGTTTCTCCGATTACCGGCCTATTTCCCTACTTCCATTCTTATCTAAAGTTCTTGAACGCCTTGTCCAATAGCAATTAAATTCCTACCTCGTGCATGACAATCTGCTCAATCCATTCCGATCCGGTTTTCGTCCCGGCCACAGCACGACTACAGCACTCTTTCAAATTACTGACGACATTCGTTATGCCATGGATAGTCAAAAAGTTTACTGTACTGACTTTACTTGACTTCAGCAATGCATTAAATACTGTAGATTATGATGCTCGCTATCCTGTGTTCTCTCAACATATCTTAGATTTTTTTTTCTTTTAAGGGTCTTCCTTACGTAGACTGCGTAATTTTCATTTTTAAAAACATTCCCCTTACTTTAGGATAACATTATCCTGTGTTGTAAGGACATTTTACAAACATAAATTTCACGCGGACAAACACCCAGATGCGAAACAACTATCTGTGGGCCACACAAATAGTTGTCCCGTGTGGGAATCGAACCCACGACCCCCGACGCCGAAGCCAATATCTTGGCAACAACGCCACGGAGTCATCAATTCACGGAGAATCAGATTGTTGGAGTAAGGCATATGGTTTGACTATAAATCCTACAAAAACTCGAGCCATCATAATCGGGAGTTCTAGATTGGCCGCTAAAATCGACTGGTGTACTTTACTCCCAATTATTATTAACGGTACTCACATCCCGTACAGAAAAAGAATCTAAGAATATTTTTGACGCCTGTCTGACATGGACACCGCATATAAATGAGATTAGTAAGAAAATGTTCTCTGCTATGGGCTTCTTACGTAGACTGCGTAATTTTCTTTCTGCTGCTACTAAAGTTGCGCTAGCACATTCACTACTTCTGCCCATCCTTGACTATGCTGATGTTTGATATCTTGACATTACCGAAGTACAGCTTAATAAACTGGAGCGGATTCAAAATTTGTGTCTTCGATTCATATTTGGGCTTCGTAAATATGATCATGTTTCCGATTTTCGTACACAGCTCAAGTGGCTCCCCATCCGCCTTCGCAGGAAAACCCATATGCTCCCTACTTTGTACAGCGTGCTGTTTAATCCCTCTACTTCGAAATACTGAAAAGATCGCTTCGAGTATCTTTCCTTATCCCATGAAAGGTCCCTTCATTCTTCTGCCAATCCCTCCCTCCATACTCCTGTACATTCTTCTTCCTTCTTCAAAAAATCTTTTACAGTGACAGCTGTGCGTTTGTGGAATTCTTTGCCCCATCACATTCGACAAGCTAAGTCACTTCTTTCTTTTAAAAACCTATTAAAAGCTCATTACTTGGAACTGTGAACTCATGCTTTCCTTTTTCCTTTCCTATTTTTCCCGAAAATCTTTGACTACCTCATTGATGTATAAATGCCGTCATCCGATGTTTATAAGTGATTCATGTACACCTCCCTGTGCTCTCTTCTTTATGTATCATTAGCAATAATTGTTTTCGCAATGGTTGTCTGGAATAAATCGCTTCTTAAGCGATAAGACCGCCTATTGTACTTCCTTTTATATTCATTTGTAATTTGCTTTTTATTTATATATATTTTTATTTTTGGTGTACAGTAAAGTATAAATAAATAAATAAATAAGGTCCTACCGAACAAGACGATCACAATAATATTTCATACGGCTATTTATTATCTTTAGAAAGATCCTAAAGAAAGATCAATAAATTATCTTGGTCACGTAATGTTGTTATATGATTTATCCATATAACGGGGTAAATATATATATATATATATATATATATATATATATATATGTTTATATAATTATATATAAAAAAGGGGTAGTAAGTTACAGTAGGTATCGCTCTCCTGTCATTCTTATGAGAAACTTATCTTGGGAGAAACATTATTGGTACCCAGAATTCTGACTGGCGTAAGAAAGAGCGATTAATAATTTCTTTAATACCGACTGATCGCCCATTCCAGGTCAAAAGGCTACAGTTAGCATAGTTTTGCAATGACATTAATCAAAGCGCAAGAGAGGTGCTCTGTTCTATCCATGACTGTGTCTATTAGCAAATACACTGTTTTGTCCTCCCCTACCACACTCAAATACGTGGTACTTTCATCCAAACTAACAGCTTGCACTATTGCAGCACCACCCGTTGAGTTCCTCATATAAAAATACCACTACAATGAAAAACTAAGTTAAATAAGGAATAAACTTTTGAACTGCAATGGAAGATCAGTCGTTATGATAGGAATGAAACTTCGTTTACCTGAGTTTAATGAGATTAACGCTATTATGTAAGCAATGTACTGTTATGATTTGTGTCCAGATCGGTGTGCTGGGTTCGTATATCTTTGCTTTCCATTGATTAATTATTTATATAGTAATAATAGACGTGTATCAACTGATTAGCATTTTTCCTAGGCCACCAGCTAGTTTATTTATTGTGATAGCGCGAGAGAAATATCTAATATAAAATTAAATGCATGGAAGTCTCAACGAGAAAGTTAATAAACAGTATCAGGTCCAACATGCCGACGATTCACTTATTATATATGGATCTTAACATTAGAATTTGTAGAAACAGTACGAAAGATTGCTGTCGCCGCGTGTAGGAATCGTACCCACGTCCGCGGCATTCACGGCCTGTCGCTTTAGCCACTAAGCTAAACGGCTGATTGCCACAACGACAAAATCAAATTTTAATTTTTAATCTTAAGTGCACAAATTGGCACTATAAAAAATTTAAATTTCTATGAATCTTAATTTTAAAGGTGCCAAAAACTTTGAAAAATATAAGTTCATACAGTTTTAATTAAAATGCATTGTCAGAAATAATATCAATAACAACTATGAGCAGACAGATTTTGCATCAATGAGTATGATGAGATAAAAGTGTTTTAATTATTGATCGAGATAAAGACGTCACTTAAAATAAATAAAATTAATAAAATAAAATTTTCACATAAATAAATCAATATTTAAGCTTTTCATTTATCATCCTTACTGATCTTTTAACATTACGTTACGTTACGTTTTTGGATTAATTAAATATAGTTTGTAATTATTGTAATTTAATTATTACGAATCTTTGCTACCAAAAATTTATATGCAATGCCAGAATTTTATTATCTATCCACTATAAGCTTTAATCCACCACATAGATTATTTGTAACTATTATCATTATCTCGAGTGCCTATTGCCGAGCTAATAAAAACCCAAATGATTGAAAGACCCTCAGTTACAGTAGCGTTGGCCGACCAGTGAATTGGTCAAAATGTATAAAATAGCATTTTTAGTGTCGCTAACATTTTATTTGGCAGTTGCCAAACACGAACAGTACAATGGGTAAGATTATTTTGTTAATTTGAAATTACTGCAAAAAATCCCACTTAACAAGTATTTACTTTTGCTTCTTTTTCAATACACGCCTCAAATAATTTTTTCCTATTAATATATCTATATTAATATTTCTTAAATTTTTGTTATCTTTACGCTTGAAATTGTAGACTAATAGAAGCAACTGATGAATAATAACAGGTTTTTCTGATGAATTACATTTTATTAATGATTTCAGTTGATATTGGTTTGGTTTCGTATTTCAAGCATATATACAACTATGTACATATACAAGTTCAGACAGTTGAAGTACAGACATTATGTTAACATACATAAGTGTAACTCTGTTAAGAATTAAAAAAATAGAATTTTTACTTTTTCTAATTTTTTCCGCAAGCAAAAGCTAGATACGGATATAGTTTTGATTAGTAAATATTTCTTAGCATGTAATCGGATCTCATCAGGCGCACCGACTTGTCATGAATTGGCGGCTACTTGAAAAAGAAATATACTTTGGCCACAGTTACGTCGTGTATCAAGTGACGGTGGCCGACGACCGACAGGCTCAGCAGGTTTACGCGTTGGAAAACCAGATGGGGTTGGACATGTGGTCGTATGCCATGCCCTCCCGTCCAGGTTTAGTGCTCGTTCCTGGATCGAAACGCCAACTATTCCAGCAGGCGGTGCTCTCTCTCGGGGCGAAGTATGAAATCCAAACCGAAAACGTCAAGGAGTTAGTATATTTGGAGTTTAACTTAATTTAACGCCCGATTTAAAATTCCTATCTGCAAACGGATTTGGTTACTAGCGATAGTTATTTGACATTAGCTCCATAATACATACGTAAAAATTCTATCTCCAGTAACCAAATCTGTAGTTAGAATACTGAAACATAATTTAGTTATACTATTAATAGTTCGCCCATTAAGTACTGTAGAAAGGTTTGAATTGAAATGTGATAGGACAACGCAGTAGTTTCTTTTTTTGCATGAATGAAAAAGCTTGTATCGGAAAGTAGATCTCACAGTAGTTCGGCGTAGTGTTAAAATAATTTCAAAATCATTAAACTATCCAGAGAATAATAAAAAAAATACATTAGAAAAATTTATAATTTTTTTGCCAGTAAATAATAATTCCTAGGTAAAAATTTCCGCCTTCACTGTGAGAGGAAAAATAGAGGATTAACATTGTGTCAGCATGTTTAATTTCTAGCTTCCATTGGACTTTTCTTTACTGCATTTTGTACAAGAAGTACATAAAGTGACAATACAATTAATTAACGAACATTAAATGTTTATAGATCTCTTGAAATGGAGGATCGACTTCTAGCCGCTGCTGCTGAACGCAGTAACAGAGCCAATGGTAGTCTCTCATTTGACACGATCCACCGTTACGAAGTGGTAAGAATTCTTCTTCATCATCACCATAGTAGTACCATAATGATGAGGGTGAATATTTTTTGAAGTTATACTTATTTACGCACGTTTAAAAAATATTATGACGACGTTTTTAAGGTGTACGCGCACCGACAGTCAAACACCGACATGATGAAATTGGTTTCAAAGCGACCAACTTCACGGTATTACTGTAGCAACCAATAACAAATCTTTGACATTTTATAGTAATTATAAGTTATTTAATAAAACCGTTATCAAATGCCTTTTTTTACAAACAAAGAGTACTGGCACAGAGCATAAAATTTTTATTTATTTTTCTTATTTTACGCTAGGCAAGTATAACATCTTATGTGCATACACAATATATACATTTTTTTACAACTTATTTCTATTCACCTCTGTAATTGCAGCTTTATGAAAAACATTGTTTGGATGAAAAAATCAAATCATTCAATCCAAGTCATACACTCGTATTGATCAAAATGGGGGTTTGAAGCTTAAAACTTACTTGCATTAAAGTGACGATGACTATATAGGGAATACCTTTTTTGTAGCTCATAATCAAACGGTTTTTGTTTCATAGCTGGGTTTCAAATTAGGGCAAAGGTAACCCTTTTCTTTGTAAGCGGTCACTTAAAACTTCGGCGATCGGAATGGTGGCCTTATCGTCTTCAATAAGGATGCCCCATGTTCCCGTTGATTGAACAAGGCCGTGCTATGTGCAATTAATAAATAAATCACCGGTGCGTTTCGTAGATTTTGGTGCCCCTTTCAATATGCTGAGTAATTTCAGTTCTAAAATAAAGCTTTCACTTTTAATAACGTTAAAACATTGTAACATTTGTATGTTACCATTAAAAAAGATTTTTCCAGGAATACTGTAAAAAAGCCAAATATTTGTTGTTATATCACTACATAGTATAAAACAAAGTCGACTCGCTGTCTGTCTGTCCCTATGTATGCGTAAATCTTTAAAAACTACGCAACGGATCTTGCGGTTTTTTTTTTAGATGATTCAAGACGAAAGGTTTATATGTATAATACATTGCTCCCATTGCTCCCGTGTTAGTTAGGCTTCGAAATATTTATTGCTGTTTACACATTTATGATTTAATACCACGTGAAGCGCCTCGCCACCTTATGACAGGAAAAGAATATTTTAAATATCACTTAAACTATCTTATCATATTTATAATATTTATTATACATTTGACACAGTCATCGTGTACCGTAGTTTTTGATTGCGAATTTATGATAATTTATGTTAAACGTGTGTTGTGCTCATAACTCACTGATAACTCCTAATATTTTGTGATATGAAAAATGTGCCTGAACTAATATTTTCTCCGAGGAAACCTGTATAGGCAAAATAATGTTTCAAAGCATAAATAGTCATGACTTTACACGTGATATTTCCATCTTAAAGATATATATCCCAGAAATAATCCATACAATTCTTCATAGAGGATTACTTATACTCGAATATTGAGTTACTTAATATCTTTCACTTTTAGTGCACAGTTGTCATTTGGCTGATTTTGAACCGACTTCAAAAAGGAGGAGGCTTTTCAATTCAACCGTATATATTTTTATTTTTTTTATGTGTGTTCGGGGATAACTTCGTTATTTATGAACCGATTTTAATGATTCTTTTTTTGTTGGAAAGGAGATATCCCAAGGGTAGTACCATGATAAGGAAACCCAGTTCTGATGATGGCATCCCGGATAAATCGAGGGGAATCCTCAATTGTTATAGGACATTGTTGACAATGTTGTTTTACTTTTCGCCTTATTGAAGTCGTTTTTTTTTTGTTCAAAATTGTTCACGCACAATACAAACATAATTTAAGGCACTCATTTTCATAATTTCAAGGGCGATGTGATTGCTATTCTGAGACCAATGGCCGACGTATGATTGTCCCATTTTCTAATCAACATATTTCAGTGATTTTCCGCATTACATTTATTTCTATTGACCCTGAATCTTTCCTAGTATAATCCATAGCAAATCGTTCCAATTCTCAACCCATTATCAACCTATTTCCATTCTATTCTTCCCTTTAAAGGTATTAGACACATGCGTGCTCAAACTTACCACAGTACCAAGTACCACCACCATGCTCATTGTAATTTGCGATATGAGGACTGATTTTGGCAATAATAACTTATTCTCTTTCAAACGCTTTTAATATCGCTGGCCATGACATCCTTCTATCCGTTTTCTTAAACTCTCTTAAAAATATTTTCTAATGAAGTAATGAAATGGTTTTCTTCCTTTCTTGGTTTTCTTTTTTTCTAATTTTCTTCCTCTGTTAAAGTATATTATGTATCCTACTGGTATAATATAGTGTATGGTTGGTTGTGTACTTCCCATTGGTTGTAATTTATAAGGTTTTGATGGATTGGTTATTAGTAAAAACAAAAACCGCCCAAGTGCGAGTCGGACTCCCGCACTACGGGTTCCGTGCCATTATTTATAAAAACGGCAAAAAAATCATGTTTGTTGTATGGGAGCCCCACTTAATTTTTTTTATTCTGTTTTTTAGTACTTGATGTTATATCGGCAACAAACATACATCATCTGCAAAAATTTGTACTGTCTAACTATCACGCTTCGTGAGATAGAGCCTGGTGAAAGATGGACAGGCAGACAGACAGATACTGGAGTCTTAATACTAGGGTTCCGTTTTACCCTTTTTGATACGGAACCCTAATATTAAGTTACTAGCTTGTTATTGTTGTGTTGACGTTTATTTGTGTCTTAATTTTCTTAATTTCTTTCTTTGATTGATTCCTTAATTTTAACGCATTGGTTTTACTTATTTTTAATGTTTTTTCTTAATTTTCTATGTAGCATTTAATTTTGAAAAAAAAAATACTAATATATTTTCGGTTCAGTTTATTTTAAATAACCTTTTATAATGTTATCCAGGTGGATGCATATCTTGTGGAACTAGCTGCGAAATATCCAACAGTGACTGTTGCATCGGCTGGCAGAAGTTTCGAAGGTCGCGATATTAAATATTTGAAAATATCAACCACCAATTTCGAAGTGAGTCAATTTTCTCGAAGTTTCTGAATGTCAGTTTTTCTTTCACTTTGAATGAAAGTTAAAAAATTTAGCACGTCAAAACCTTATTAATGTTTTTTTGTTTTTAGGATTCCTCGAAACCCGTTATTATGATCCAGTCCTTGTTGCATGGCCGTGAATGGGTGACCTTGCCTTCATCTCTTTACGCCATTAAGAAGTTAGTGATTGACGTCACTGACAGGGACCTAGTCGATAAAATCGATTGGATAATCTTGCCGATCTCCAACCCTGATGGGTACGAATTCACCCACACCAACGTAAGATGTTCATACTTGTCAGTAAAAGTTATTAAAACCATATTCATAACCAACACTTTAATTTGAAAAGAAATCGTTGTACATAGACAAATTAGACATTTATTCAAATGAAAATTATCTAAGAAAAATTAATTAATGAACATTTGATTTGATAGCCGTAACGCTAATAAATAGAATACCTTTTGGAAAATACGAAAAAATTTAATACTGCAATTTCATATCTGGTTTTATACAATTTTATCTGCTTCATACTTATTTACACGATGCCATTTTCTTGTACATGCAAGATACTTACTGAATCGCAATATTGCTGTCACCATTTGTTGTTTAGACCATGCAACTTATTTATTGCTTCAATTTAATTGTATACAACAGGCAAGAAACTGGAACCGTGTAAATGGGCCTTTACTCTCGTAATATCGTACTGTCATTATTTTTGACTTAGACGCTTTATTTTAGACTCGTTTCTGGAGGAAGAACCGTTCGACCGGCCACATGGTGGGCAACTTCTGCCTCGGCGTCGACCTCAACCGCAACTTCGACATCAACTGGGGCCAGTGGTCCAGCAGCAACGCCTGCTCCGAGACCTTCCACGGCAGGGGGCCCTTCTCCGAGCCCGAGAGCGTCGCGGTGCGCAACATCGTGCGGGAGAACGTGAACCGTCTCGAGCTGTACATCGACATCCACAGCTTCGGCAGCCTGATCCTCTTCGGTTACGGGAACGGCATACTCCCGCCGAACGGCCTCACCCTGAACGTGGTCGGTGTGCGGATGGCGACGGCGATCGACCGCGTGAAATGGGCTTCCAAGCCCAACTACCGTGTCGGAAACTCCGCCATGCTCCTCTACCCGACGTCTGGAACCACTCAGGACTACGTCCAAGCGGTCGGTGTTCCACTCGCTTACACTTACGAGCTGCCGGCGTACAGGAATCAAGGCAACAGTATCAACGGCTTCCTAGTGGACCCCGATTTTATCGAGCAAGCCGGGTACGAGACCTGGGAAGGTATTAAGGCTGGAGCGGGCTTCGTGCTGGAATATTTCAGAAGCAACAAAGCGGCCCGTTAATGTACGATTTAATTTATAAACAAATTTGTAAATGTTTAATATGTAATTTAATAAGTAAATATAAAATCAATCACTAATGTTTAATGTTTAATTTTTTACTATCTGTGTTTTTTATGTATAGGTACGATTATGTATCCATAAACGCTCCAGCTCCAAACGGATGCAATGTCTTATACATATAAACCTTCATCTTGAATCACTCTGTCTAGTAAAAAACCGCATCAAGATCCGAAGCGTAATTTTAAAGATCTAATCGTATGATTAGATATTGCACCTATGGAAATTTGCAAATAGAGTCACATAAATTATACTTGAAATCCGGTTAGAATACTATTTATTAAGATGACAAATAATTTTAACGGTTTATAAAATCTCACAAAGCTGTTTGCAGTACGTAAGGCCCCAGAACAAGCCAAATTCCAATGGAGTTTTAAGAGATCCATTATCAATGTAAGCACGTTAATCGGAATTATCACTACATAGTATAAAAAAAGTCGTCCCGCTATCTGTCTGTCCCTACGTATATATACAGCGGGCCGACTTTGTTTTATACTATATAGAGATAGATATAGATATGTAGAGATAGCCTTTTAAACTAAATATTGTAGACAATGATTGCCGATTTAGAAGTAAAGTAACAGCCTATACATGTCCCACCGCTGGGAAATGGCCTCCTCTGTACATAGGGTATCAGGGCATAGTCCAACCAGCGCGCTCGCACTGCGGATTGGCAGTGACTTTGCATATTTTTTTATTAAATTTAAAATATGCATATTTGGCGTGAAAGGTAAGTGCAGACTTATCGCGAGCATTTAAAATTAACAATTGTTATCGGCACCGGGGATCGAACTCAGGTTGCTCAAGTATTTAAATTGTTTATAGTGCTAATCTTTGCACTTAAGATTGAACATTAAAATATGTAGAAAAAGTGCGAAAAGATTGTCGCCGCTGTGGGAATCGAACCCACGTCTTCGGCATTCGCGGCCTAAGAATTTCAAATGCTAAGAAAACAATGTGGAAGAATGCGTTAATATTTTCGTCGGTGTGGTAATCAGCCGTTTAGCTCAGTGGCTAGAGCGTCAGGCCGCGAATGCCGAAGACGTGGGTTCGATTCCCACAGCGGCGACAATCTTTTCGCACTTTTTCTACATATTTTAATTGCTCAAGTATATTGAATTAAAGGAAAGGAAATTAAAGGAAGAAAACGAGCGTCCGGAAACAAATAATTACATTTGTAATAACAGTGTTCAGATCAAAATTATACAATTTAATCAGTTATAAAGCAAAACTCTACAGGATCCTTTGAAAATGAAAACGAAAGAGATCAAAGGACCGCAAGAGTTTGTATTTTGATTTACAACAATGCCCCTCGCAATCGATGCCGAAACAGGTAAATTTAATTGTGAGAAGACAGAGTGTGGTTAGAATATTTAATGGTAAAGAGAAAATGGCTATTTTCTAATACAACTTACTGTGTTTTTTTTTAATGTGAAAAGTTGCCAAGCGCGTAGGCGGCTCACCTGATGTTAAAAGAAATCCCCCCGCCTGTGGACATCTGCTACACCCAAGGTTTACAGATCCGTTGAAAACCTTTTGAAGATTGGACTCCGGCTACCTCACTCACCAGACCAATCTCGAAAGTATTTGTTATACTTCCACTTTGCGCCCGTCTTCTGTGAGGTTGTGGTTCCGGACGAGCCTGCCCATTCGTGCAACAACCGAGGCTGCTGCGTGGCCATACAACAGTGGAATCCAACGTTAGTGTTGCAATGGATGTATCCGTGGGACATAACTAATGCTCTTCATCCAGCTGTAAAAAAGTAAAGTATCAGCCTATACATGTCCCACTGCTGGGCAAAGGCCTCCTCTGTACAGAGGGTATCAGGGCATAGTCCACAAACTGACGGCAGACTTCAAATATCTTCGAAATTTTTTTTATTAATATTTGGAAAATATGCAGGTTTCCTCATGATGTTTTCCTTCACCGCTGAGCACGTGATAATTCAGCACTTGAAATTAACTATTTCATTGGTGCTGGCATCGGGGATCGAACTCAGGTTGCTCGAGTATATTGAAGGTTACTCGAGTATATTGAATTAAAGGCGAGCGCCCGGACACTGAGCTATCACGGCATCCAGCTTAGAAAGTCCTATTAAATTAATTATATTTTATTTCGCATGAACTAACATACAACAAAAAATACTGTATTTATAATTTGGATAAAACTAGGTCTGAGTGCGAATGTAGTTTCTCTTATGTGGGACAAACAAAAATATCAATTAAAGCAGAATAAATTAACACAGAGCTGATGTAAAGTACTGACGGTTGAAGAAGTGTAAGTAACAGCCTATAAATGTCCCACTGCTGGGAAAAGGCCTCCTCTGTACAGAAAATATTAGGGCATAGACCACCACGCGACCCCACTGCGGATTGGCGGACTTCACATAGCTCGAAACATTTTTTCGTTTACGCTGAGCACGTGATAAGTCCGTATTTAAAATTAACAATTGTACAATGTTAAATGTAAAGCAACTCAGCCTGTCACTATGAATGTTTTAATTGTTCGCAACGTCGAGAATAAACAAAACAAGATTAAAAAAATCCGAAAAGTAGTTGCATTTTACTACGTATTTACTTGTAGTAGTACTTGCATAAAATCAAGAAATCAATATGTAACGGACATACAAGAAGAGAATATTGGTAAATTGAACTGAAAGTGGGCCGGTCACCTCATAGAAACGATAACCGATGCAGGAGAAAGTTTCTCGAGTGGCAGCCACGTACTACCCATCAAAGGGTAGGACAAGAGCCCCACTAGAGGGTATCTGTTCAAATATGCGGGAAGGCCATGGATGCAGTTGACTCAATCGTGATTCAGGGCGGTTTCTGGGGGAGGCATACCTCCAGCAATGGACTAAAACAGGCTTAAATGGTGATGACGAGGAGGTAAACAGTGCGAATTGTGAAGTTCAGTGCATCGTGTCTAGACTATTCTTATTTATTCCAAAATTGTGGAAAAGTTACGTGGCACTAATTATTAAGTGCCACTTCTTCGTTTGGAAATGACTCTTGCTCTGCACTTGCAAGACCCCTGGCTGCTGCTGATTTTATACCTAAATAAGTGTGTATAATTGCATAAAAAAAAAATATATAACAAAAAGAATAAGACCGTAGAGTTTCTTGCCGGTTCTTCTCTGTGCAGGCAGGGAACCGGTGGTAGATTTTTTGTTGATGTTCAATAAGAGCTTAAGTTAGGCCTATATTGAATAAATATACTTTGACTTTGTCTTTGGACTTGATACTTAAAGTGCTGATAGAAAAATGGTAATAAAATAAAATGATAATACAATGAACAGCAAACGATATACCGTCTCACATCCTAAAATATAGTCAGAGAGATCATAGTTCAACGGTACGGCAATACTTGACTAACTTTCGGTCGGAACAATAATTTAAGATTTAATCACAACTTATAATTGTTATCCCGCCTTTCTAATAAAGCGGAGGAGCTGTTTTTCAACTTTGATTAAACCTCGTGGTGCTTTGACGGATTTTCGTTGAATTATAAACTTTAAAACATTTCTTTCTACCTTCGGTTGCTGTTAACGGATATCGGATTAAAGTAATTTATATTTTAATTTAAAATTTGGAATTTTCCATAATTTTATGTAATCGTAATTTTGTTTTTAACTATTTTAATTGTATTTTTTTTGCATGAAATAATTCAACACAGTTTTGTAGTGTTCAGAATAAAGAAAGATTTTATCGAAATTATTAAAGAAAATAATAGACTGATGTTGTGAATCATGTCATAATCGGTTTGGGCTATTTTTTTTGTGACCAGCCGCCTGCATGACGTCAACGCTCCTTGGGAAAACAAATTATTATGATTATAGTCATAAATTAATAATTTTAATTAATATTATGTTATTTTTATACTATTTTTTATCGCTGAAGAATCTTGGTATATAAGTACCAAGGTACAAGGTACCAAGCTCAAATTTAAGTTTATAGGTCTCCCAACGGATGAGCCTTTAGAGTATAATTAATTGAAATCGAAAAAGGCACTTGCCTTTAAATACATATACTCGAGCGACCTGAATTCAATCCCCGGTGCCAGCACCAATGAAATTATTAATTTTAAGTGCTGAATTATCACGTGCTCGGCGGTGACAGAAAACATCGTGAGGTAACCGGCATATTTTCGAAATAATAGTAAAATAAAATATCGAAAATATATAAATTCCACCAATCCGCGGTGGGGTCGCGTGGTATCCTCTTAACAAAGCAGACCTTTACCCAGCAGTTACTGTACTTTACTTACTCTTTGAAATCCAAAACCGTAGCGGACACAGCCACTATAAAACACAGATTTCCGATAGTGGATTTATTGTTACCAACTTTGATTTAATTCTATGCGAAGTGTGTTCCGAAATGCCAATGTTTGTTTAATGAATCAGTCAATGCCAAGCGCATAACCCTGGAAGTTTAATTAAATCGTGTTTGAAGTGACCGAGCAAATTCCGATCTTTGAGGTTGATACATTTCAACGCTGTGCATGAAGTATATAGACTATCAAGTCTGGAATTATAAATGGGAAGACCGATCTAATTTTGATCAACTATTTTTTACACTACTGGATAGAAAATGCTACAAATATGGATACATATTAATGTCGAGAATGTTAAAATTGTTGAGTTGAAATTTGAAATATTTTGTTATTATTATTTCATAAATATCCTTCACAGACGTACACCTGATAATTCAGCACTTGATGTTGCATTTAGCATTTTCGTCTAAAAGCTACCTACTTTCAAAGCTGATTAACGGTAGTAGGACCACGAAACAGTCTTTGATAAAATTTGTAGAAAAGAGAGGTCATGTTTCTATTTGAATAAGTTGCTTTGTAATCAACATTTAAAATAAATGGTTATAATTGATTTGTACCACCTTCTTCTCAAAGTTTTTATATTTATGTGTATTTCTCTTTTTGGTAA